CAGGTCTTGCGTTGGATGATGTTTCAGAGAGGATAAAATTCCAGCGGGTTGCTTGGGTTTCGCTTTTCTCAATGTCAGTCGTAACAGATACCTGCTTGTAACCGTAGCCATTAAAGCGAAAATGCAATTTAACTAAAATAGTGTCTGCAGTCGGATCATTTCCTCCATTCTTTAAAATATAATTCCTTTTAATTATTCTCATTTAATTCTCAATTGTTTCGACAAAGTGGTATACAAAGGAGCAAAAACTGAGTTAAGTGACGTCACAAACTTGTGTCGGAAGTTTAAAGTCATAAAGAAAAAAGCTAATTAAAAATGTGTTTCAAACTGTTTTGGAACTGCTGAAATACATGTATTTTATCGCGGCAAGTACTTACAAAAAATTCTGTAACAATTTTTACGAGTTTGTAGGTTTCTTATGAAGCCGGACTGTATTCGAAAGTCAATTTGTAATACATTGTTGTAGTGATTGCTGTGCTGTTTTTCTAGAATACATTTAATAGCTGTATTTTAGAACTGGTAAGTTCAAAATAACTTCTACAGCTCCGGTTGTTCTCTTTTCATCCCTCGGCAAGTTTAGCGTTTGTTGCATTTCTTTCCCATTTACTACAAGTTATAATTTAAATTCGTATTATTTTCATTGGCTAACTGTAATACTAGAACAGTCAAATCAAGATTGTAAATTACTTTGCTGAGAGGTTAAAATCAGTACAGGAACAAGCCTCTACCGAAGTTTTTATTCTTGTAACCTACTGACATTTTCCACACTTGTCTCATTCCTACCGAATTACGCCTACAGCATACGAAATAAGACCCAATGCTTAGACGCTGATGCGTCACAGAATATTAACAAAGGCCTCTCTCTAACATCATTACCAGACCTTTTGGGTAATTCGTTTTAAAATGAGAGGTAGGGATATTATTATTCAATGTCACATCGTCATTCTTTACCTCTTCCTCCAAAAAATCGTTGACCTTTTAAAGAGGCGTTCAGCATGTTTTGTTAACCAATAATTAATGTCATAAATGATACATTATTTAAGTAAATATACTTAATGTTATGGCAAACACTTGCTTACCTCATACAAAAAGCGTTGAAATATTATGTTAAACAAATTTATGAATAATTAATGAAGAAATTAAGATGTATAAAAAAAACTTGCTGTAGAAAAAATAGGAGACCCAACACCTTTATTAAATTTTTGATGATAAGGTTAAGGTCAGATACAAGATATATTAGCATCCGTTGAAAATGATATTTAGAAAAAATTAGATGATTAGTACACCTAAAAATAATAGAGGGTGTCCGGAAAGGTCATGTCAAAAATGGAGGGGTGTACAGGGGAGGTCAAAATAGATGTAGTACTTCCTATAAAATTGTTTCCTATCGGGCGTTTCATATTCCAAGGAAGAAGTTTGAGAAACAAATTCCAATTATAACTTTTAAGTTCCTGTATATTCCAGACATATTGAATATCAGCTTAAACTTAGAAATGAACATCACCATGACTTACTTTAATTGCCCAAATTTCATTGTTGTCGTGATAACGACTTAGAAGTTATAATTGGAATTTGTTTTGAAAACTTCTTTCTTTGAAGGCGAATAACTCCACAAGGAAGGCCGATAGGAAACAATTTTATATGAAGTACTACATCTGTTTTGACTTCCTCTGTATACCCCTTCATTTTTGACATTTCCGGACACCCTGTATATGCGTACAAACTGATAAACAGTTTGATATCCAATTTGCATTTATTAATATTTAATAGCTATTCATTTACATTACCATACACAACATTTGTCGAGGCACCTTATTTTAATTGTGCGTACACTCTTTTTCTTTCTGTTGTTACCTTATTCTCGAAAATTGGAATATAATCATTGAAGGTGATTATACAAGATTGTGTAGTTTACATAAGTAAACTCTTGCAATTAATTTTTAATTTGGAAGTAAATCAAGTTGAATGATATTTTTCTTACATAATGCAAGATACAGTTTTATAAATGTAAATCTATACGTAACGAAGATGAAGCAGTGACATTGTTGAGTTGCTATCTAGCTTTAAAAATACCTAAAAATATGAGAAGTTACTCCATTTTAAGACTGATAAGATAAAAATTCACATTAAGTCTCTTATCTCCTCTTCTAATATGTTTAGGAAATATATTCACGATAGCAACGGTGTTATATACATTTATATAAAGCCGACTATCTTTTGTAGAGGTTTTCTAGAACTTTTAGTGATATCCTTGTTTCGACCTCTAGAAAACCACAGAAGCAACGTAGTTGAGCGTGTTGGAAAACTGTGAAAAGTTAAACCATTCAGTTTACAACTATAATAAGCTTCGCTGCTAATTTTGTTGAGAATTACTTTAGCCCAGATAGAGATATTTTACATGGGAATTTGTGACATAAGGAATCACCAAAACGTGCTTATTCAACATACTACAATTTTTGCCTTGCGACTAAAGTTATGAATAAAGTAGAAACGCCTTGGCTAAAAATATTTAAGGAAGCAACTGAATTATCCATAATTTGTTTGTGATATTGTTATTATGACCTACATAATTTGTCTGTTATCTGTTCACATACTGATAAGAGTTGTGTCAGTTTCGACACAATCGTGTAATGATAAATCGCTATTGGTAGACAGACTAGTGACGTATGTCTTTCCTCTTCCTCCGTATTTCACTCCTATCACACAAGTATACGTGAATAAGATACATATTCATTTCTCTCTGCCATCCCTTTAAATTAACACAATTAAATTTTACATTTTTTTTGCATTCCATTTGCTAATAGAAACAAGTTGTTTATTTTGATATATAAAATGTTTATTAACTGAACTCCATTTCTTCATCAGAGAATGTCATGAATATGAGTACAGGGTGATACATAATCTGTTTATTCTTTCTATAAAAAATTCTTATGTTTTTTAAGAAAATGTATGAACAAATCTAGCAAGGTATGTAATAATATGCATAATAAAAACATAATTAAGCAACAAGTCGTTACCCTTGGCCGCAGTTGGCACTGCCACTGTAAATATTTTATGTTTATGTAATATTTTACATAGAGTGTATAATCTGAATTATGTAATTGTTATTTTATTTTGAATATAAAACAAATAACTCGACTTTACTTGTCGAGTTATAATTTAAATAAATAAATAATAAGGCACATATATTTAATCTGGATATTTAGCAGAGCTAATTAGTAGATAAAATTGTTATGATGTGTCGACGTTCGATAATGCAGCAGAAACTTACTTCCTGGTGTCGACAGGATAATGAACAGCCACAAATTAGGATACCGTTAGTGCGTCAGTAAAATTTTCCCCGGTTGTTATCTTCGAGGTGACCACAGATTCCCTGTTTCTTTATAATGCGTGTTTCTTGGATTTCCTAGATGAAAAAAGGTCACCGATATAAAAATATATGATAACACAATGCTGTTCGAATTTTATAAAATGAATACTTTCAAACATTTTCCTCTATCTAACCCTTCTAATTAAAGAAGGCCCTCAAGATTCAGCAACAACTGTAGTTTACAGCTTGTCTTTTAATTATTGCAACGCTACTATTAATATAGAAGCAAATGGTGTTAAATATATACAAAAATGTTGTTTATGTTTAAGTCAAGTGGCATATTGCTATCAGATATTCTTAAGGCCAAAATATGGTAATTGGGACAAGTGTGTCTTAGTCCAAAGTTGCTCATATACAAGTTACTGGTTGATTAAGTGTTTGAAAAACATCTCAAAATCTCTGAAAGATGTTTTACACAGATTAATAAAACTTAGGTTGGCATACTAGCTAAATAAATTTAAAAATTCATTGAATGTGTATACAATTAACTAATGGTGAAGATTTTGGAAGGCAAAAGTTTAAAATTAATAAAATGTTTATTGTTCTATGAAAATATATATAGAAGATGTCAAAATACTATCTACAGAAGAGGAAGTGTGAATATGAACAGTGCTATGACAGTTCCGGAGCTGATTTCATGGTCTCACCAGGAACTTGGTCCTGGATAATTAATATCACATTGGATCGGCATGGGTGGTATTTCGTGGCTGGATACTGAAGCCTGTATAAGGTATTTTTTGAAAACTCGAAAGCAAATTAGGAATCAAAATCGGCCGATTCGAAAGACAGGCGATTTTCGAAGCTATCAGTGTCGTCGTAGCACCTTTTTTGTGGCTCTGTGGGGATGCAGCATGCTATCTCAGGCGACGTGAAGCAACTACCGAGCAGCTAGGCCGACTTTACTTGCAAATTGGAAAGTATAGCGAAAATTTTTATTTTTTTTTCCCTGTAACACAGGGTGGTACTTAGTGCTTTGATACAAGCTTTTAATGGCGATCTTTGTCGTCGTTTTGAAAGCTAATTAAGAATTGATCTCCTTCAAGATCGGCCGATTCGAAAGACAGGCGATTTTCGAGGCTATCTGTGTCGTCATAATGGCTTTGACACATTTTTTGTGACTCCGGGGGGATGCTGTACGCTGTCTCAGAAGACGAGCAGCTAGATCAACTTGACTTGCAAATTCTCCTGTATCACAGTAGGTGACATTTAGTGGCTAGATACAGGCTTTTATTGTCTAATTTTTTGAAAACTCTAAAGCAAATTAAAAATTCTCCTTCAAGATCGGCCGATTCGAAAAATAGGCGATTTTCGAGTCGAGTTAGTGGTATAACAAAAAGTTTTGTGTAACCATTTCATGTATTGGCGTCAGCGCATCATCAGGATAATGTACTTTCGGGAACTATTCATTGTTTCGTTATTTTTATAATAGTTCCAAACTTCTTTTATCAATATTTGGGAATGAAATAAATAGCACTCTTGCTGCAGAAGCATTAACTATAACTATCAAATTTTGCCGTTTTAAAGCAACAGTCATCTATAAGCAATTATTATTATCGGAACGGTATCAACCTTAAGTAAGAGATAACATATCGACACAGGCCACTTTGTGAAAGCGTCAAACTCCGCGACGCTTTTACCCGACACTAGTCGGTTAGTACCCGGCGTGGCCAACCTTGACGAACCACGAAACGTCACGCTTATTACCAAACCAGTTCCAACGCTTTCTCCAACGCTTCATCGCTTAGTCAATAATTCGCTTTCGATAACGGCGTACGACCACCAGAGCCATGATCGACAACGCCGAGTACGACTTGGCCCTCATCGCCGAAGTGGAACGCAGTCCGGAACTGTACGACAGCAGCCACATGGATTTCAGATGCAGCGATATCAAGATGGACAAGTGGAAAGAAATTGCACATCGGTTGAGACAGAACTCGGACGGACATTCAGGTACGGTGTGGGTATGTATTTTAATGAAGTTTTTGCGGTATGACTGGCGTGCGTTTATGGTTTGGGGAAATCTGTACAGTAACAACAAGTAACCTGTAGCTATTTCGTCGCGTCCGTCGGTCGTAGAGTGGCAAACGCTAGTGTCGAGGTCACTTCACCAGGGGCGTAACACGTAGGTAACTCTTTGCTATGATTAAGTGCCTATGAATAAAATTTGAGGTATATAATGTCTAGAATAGCTTTGAGAATTCTAAGAAAAAAATTGTAAACAAAGGAGTGTGCTAAGTACTAGAAAAATGATTTGGAATTTTGAACTTTTAAGAGTAATGTTAGAGGTTTCTGGTGTTCACCCAAAGCAGAAGGGTTACAAGGTGCAATTGTTGATTGAATCTGTATATCCAAAATATGTAATGAGCCCCTCGAATATAAATACTTCGGCTACCAAACGTGTCCACTTTTTTATGTTGTAGATATGCTTTTTGTTGATTAAAAAACAGGTTGTTGGTTTCCCATGACATGTTCTGTTTTTAGGGGTCTAAATACATACGATGGCATGGATTTCATCCTTGGAACAGACCACTTTTTGTGCTCTATGCTTCTTCAAGTCATCATTTATTAGTTCGACTAAAACTGGCTCCATAAACAAAAAGAAATCATGTCAATTATCATCCTTGACTTAGACCAAAAAACGAAAAACTTGAAAGTATATTATGTTATAAGGTAAACAGGAACGCCTCCGACTTATTTGAAACGCAAAAAAATTGCATGGCTTTCTTTGTCACCCTGTGTAATGCAAATATGTCAGAAATACTCATGAAAATCGGTTAATTTTTTAGCATTTCACAGTAAATTTGAATGGGTCCATTTTTTGGGTAACCCACTTCAAATTTGATCAGGTTTACTTATGGAACCGATCAAGTCCTCAACTAGAGGTTGTTTGCAGGCTTCTTCTGAATAGGATAAAATTCTTCAATTAAGTTGCTGGTATATAGCCGGTCAACGAGTGTCCATTGGCGTCTGGAGCAAATAATTTAGAATACATATCTGATTTCACAAAATTCCCAAGTATGCATTTTGAAAAATTTAGTAGTACAGTTCTTATATTGGAAGAGTGATCAGTTCAATTTGCTTGATTTCAGTTAAGATGGTCAGGAGCCGTTGGAAGAGCCTGAGGGACACCTTGGTCAAGGAAACGCGTCATAAAAACACCTTACATCAACCGGATTCAAAACCAAAACGAAATTGGCGTTACTACAACGCTATGGCTTTCCTCCTGCCTTACCTAGGGGAACCCAATCCTGCAAAAGGAAACAGATACAGGAAACGGATTTCTAACAACGAACTTGTTGAGCCTGTAGAGAAGTACCTTATAACTACAGAAGATCTCAAGCAGATTGTAGATGATCCTGTCGAAACCGCAATGGACAATAATCAGCAAGACGAAATAGATTCTTTCTTCAAAGGCATCGCTGATACAGTTAAGAAACTAACTCCCGAAAATCAAGTGAAGGTTCAGAGAGAGATCGTGAACATGGTGCTAGATATTAAACTCTGGGAAATTAATGAGACCAAAGATCCTTCCGACAACCCTTTGGAATAATGCGCTGATACTCAAGTTGATATTACCAATGTGAACATTCCTAAAATATTTTTGACGAATATATTGTATAATAAATTGTTGCTCAAATTCATTGTTGTAATCATAAATCTTTCCTTTTTCTAATTTCTCAAACAGTGGGATGTGGTGCTAAGAAGGTAAAATCTGATAACAAAGGGGAGTTTCCCTAAACTTATAGTTGTTGAATCATCTATTCCAAACACCACTACACTACAGAAGTTGTATAAATTAACATATATGTTCCTCTTGCACAAACGTCTTTAATCAGTAAGGACCACAGTCACCAGAGTGCGTGATATAGTGATGCCTTTTTTTTACTTACATCGTATATCATTAAATAGGGAAAAACTATACAACAAATAAGGAAAAAACGTAACCTATACTACAAGTAAATACATAATTTGAGACCAGGTAATAGCATAGAGCCGTCGGGTCGAGCCGGTCCAGTGGCGTAACGTCATAAATGCTACGAATTAAAAATAATTTGTCACATTTAATCGGTTCAAGCTGATTTGTTCACCATATGTTTGGGGGGTGAAATGTCTGTGGAAAATGTATAAATAAGTTGCAGTTAAATTAAACATTACTAAAAAACATTGGTAAGTGTACACATCGTGTCTAGAACAAGGAATAGAATGTTCAGAATATTGCAATAAACCAATCAAGGCATGTGCAAACGCATGTCCGACAAGATTGCCCCTGATGCATGCACTTTTCTTACCTTCTAGACTTTGTGAATGTCAGACTCCATTGTTGTAACGTGACCTTTCCTTTTCCGTTCTGTTCGTTCCTTGGGAATGTACAAATTTGCGTCTGTACGGCCAGGCGGCGAAAAATTCACGCTCCGCTAACCGGTCTGAGATGGCGCGGATAAGCGGCGACATTTCAATGGGTTTCAGGCAAATGAAAACGTAATTAACGCACGCTGAAACGAGACGCACCGGCGCGTAAAGCGATTGTGTCTGGGTAGGGCGTTGGATTCATCGCTTTGGAAAAATTAACTAATATTAGCGACGGTAGTTTCATAGTCGGAACTTGATCTTAAGGATGAATAACTTTAGTACAAGTAGAGAAAATGAAAGAAAAGAAATATATAAACTTAGGCATAGAGTTCGGGGATACGCGTCTCCTAACAGGGCAGGACTCAGTTTGCTTATGTAAATATGAACTTATTTAGATATGCCAAATACAATAATTTTAATATTGCCCAAGTGAAAAAAAAACAATTGAACTGAGATGAAAACAATTAGAGAGCTTAAAGCGTATCACTATGTGCTTCAAAATTTCAGCGCAGAAGGGGAGAGATACCATCGTCTTTTCTTGGGCAGTACTTTGGGAGCGGAGTCAATCAAATAGTATTTGTTGCATCCTGTCCTCTCTACTGGCCCTTCTCTTAGCAACTTTCGAAGGTGACTTCAAGGAATTGGATTGCTACATAATCCTCCAACAACGCTCTTGACTTGACTCATCGCATTGATTGGTGACTCGCATTTTTCAACACAGCTCCCTTTGTCTAGTTTACCCTTTGATGTTGTCTCTGGACCTGGTGAGAGAAAGCCACGCTCTCTTTTATTCGCCTGTAACCTGTAGTTTTCAACTGAATGTTTCTACATTAATTGTTTTTGAATACTTTTGTGTCTATATAACGGTCTATCAGGCATTGACTTTCCAGAACACTTATGAAGGTCTCCTTGAAGTATCTACTTGAAGCATTTTATCCCTCAGGATCTTCACAACAGGCATAGAAAGTTCTGAACGAATTTGACACTAGATTGATTATCTATTCATTGAACATTTTTCAACAATGTTTTGAATATACAGCATTAAAGCATTCAAAAGTCAATGTGCTTGTAAGCTTAGAGTCGTTTGTCGTTCTCTCTCAAAACCAATCTGTAAGATGTTAAATCGCAGTCTATTAGATTAAGTGCTTGTACATACTGGATGTGATCCTGGTGCAAAAGCTAGTCCATAAGGATATGTACACCATAAGGATATTTACACATTGGATGTGGTCTTGGTACAGAAGCTATTCCATAAGAATATTCCATACAAGAGCTAATGAGCCGTAATCCGTGTAGCGCTAGTTCCAAGGATCCAACTTCCTCTAAAATTAGATTTTTTGCCTCTAGGTTTTCCAGAGGCGATGGGGTTTTTACCAAATTTTCCGCTGTCTCAGCATACAAACGATGATAGGAAGACACGATAAAGATTTAATTCGTATTTTTGTGGAATTTAAAGGATGATCTTACTCTTCCGACAATATTAAACCATTTATTAAGATAAAAGAGCCAGTTTTCTGTTATCTTGTGTTTTATGAAATTTTAAAGTCAAATTTTTTAATTTACTCGAAAAATATGTGACCTATTGAAAAGAGACAAGAGTACATTTTATAATTTTGCTGCTCTTTCAGAAAATGCAACTCGTTTGGAAAACATAAACACAAACAGATTTTTTTTTCGAAAACTTATCTCGAAAATGAAACGTTTGCTCATCTTGTTGTTGTCGTTCATATAAATTTTTTTGTCATTTTTTGAGTATTCCTTGCTTTTAAAAATATTTAAATATTTCTTAATATCTTTTCACATTTCCCAGTACGTGAAATTGTTCATTATCCATAGTTCATGCGATATATGTCTTATTAATTCTATCATCTTGCGTATGTTTCCATCATTCATGGGAAACTATTTTGCCAATTAGTCAATTTAATTTTCCTTCAAAAATTGCATAATTCTTCGCGAAAATTAGAGGACAAGCCATTTCTTGGAACACAAATTATTTTTCTAGCTATATTTCCCGCAATGAATTAAAATTAAGAAACGAAAGATATCTCTAAACATTTCGGATTAGATATTATCTAAACTCGTTGTTTTGCTGAAAACTGATAACAAAACCTAGCTTTATGATTTATTAACACAGATATGTTTCCAATAATCATAATCACAATGACTTGTATCGTTAAATTGAGCATTTCATCTCTATTCAGTACAATGATACGAATAATACATCTGACGAAAAGTGGTTATCGAAGTGATTATCAACTCACTGACGTGGATCTGACTTATCTCTTCTGAATAGTACAATCTTTGTGTCATAGTAACAGTTCTCTAAATTACAATAAGATTGTTTTCCATTTTCTTAATACAATTTTTAATTTTTCTAAAAATGTTTAACCGGGATGGCTTTAAGCTATTTCAAACTAAAATGTTTCTAAATTATGCTAAAGAAATACCTTCATAGACAAGCTCATTGATAATAATGTAATTATATTGCACCTTGATTTTTTTACACTACGCCGCAGTAGAAATCCTTTTCTGATGATTAATGCCTACTTTCAAATTCATTCCTTGACGTGTTAGCATTAACCTGAGAATTTTGTCGAAGCATCATTTTGTCGTAGAGTAGGGATATTTTCCTTACCTAACAATGCTTAGACAAGGGACTTTTAAATCCCCTGCGAGGGATGGTACATTAACTTCTGTGAATACACTGACATACGGTCTACTAGGAGGACAAGCATCTCGAGCATTCCCTGGATGGTCACCCAACCCCCAACCAAGTACTAACCTCCAAGAGCGCAGCTTGTCTTGTTATTGTGTTTTATACACTTTCAGTTACGGAGACGACCTTATTACTGACATATTAGAAATTAAACCCTTTTCCATGTCCATGTGGACGCCCGTGGTACAATTCGTTCCGGGCGGTAAACCGATCGCAGGCTTCGTTAAGCATACACCGTGCAGGTATTCATTTTATTATTTCCAGAATATCCGCGTAATTATGGAAGAACAAAGAACCACCCTCGTCGATACGTTTGTTTGTTGTAGTGTAATACAATTTTCCCATGAGTAAAGAGAGAAGATAAGAGATCAGCTGAACAAGCTCGTTCTTCGGGCAAAGTTACGCAACGACGCGATGGTGATATTGAGCGTGTTCACAACCTGTGACAGACAGGGAATTGCAATTTATGCGACATAGTAGACTGCATCGTCTTCGCCATTTAAATGTTATGTAATTTACATTATTTTTAAAGATTTACTTTTGCACATCGGTTAGTTAATATGTAATACATATATCAATGTCTCTGACGCTGCTGCGCTTGTGTTGTTAGACTCAAATGCAAAAAAAAATTGGAAATGATCCCCTACCTAATTATGTTCAAGAATATTTGCTTCCAGCTTATAACAAAGAAAGTTTGTTGAATTTCCCCCATTCAATAAAATCATACTCATGAAAGTATGAATTTTCCGTCATTTTATTACCAATTTTCTCATAAAGAGTAAGTGGTTTCTATTAGTCCAGTCACTGGAAACATTTTGGCTACCAATTTTTTCGGATGAAATGGATTGACGTGAAATTTCAACTGTAGCTAGGGAATAGCCCAAGAAGCAAAAGTTATATAGTGCCGATGTGTGCTTTTACCCTAGGGGTGGATGCCACCCCTTCTGGAGAGTGGGCATTTTTTTTAATTAAAAATAACCTAACGATTCGATAGAGGAACGAATTCTAAGCAAAAAATGTTCTATAAGAATTTTTTGTACAGTCAATACTTTTTGAGTTATTTGCGCCTAAACATGTTCGTTTAGCCCAAAAATGCATGTTTTTGAGCCAATTTTCGTGAATATCTCAAAAACTACAAGTTTTATCAAAAAATGATCATAAGCAAAAAATGAAGGTTAAAGAATAAAGAGATTGCTTTTTTTTTAATTTTTGTAGATGGTATAGAACCCGAGTTAAGTTAATTCGAAGATAGTTATAATAGAAACGTTCAACGTCCTGTAGCGGAAAAATTAAAGATTTTTCGAGGAAAACTTATATAACACCTATTAAAGTTCTTGAAAAGACCTTTAAATTGGGTGGTGGTAGAAGTGGTTAGCACGAGAACTAATGAAGTTACAATCAAAATAAAATGATTCTCTTGATTTTTGAAAAAAATCGGTACCTATTAAAATGAATGACTTGAAGGAAAAAAATTAAACGTATTCCGTCTGCAATTTACTTTATTTATGTATTAACAGTAGATTCTGGGAATTTGAAAGATTTTAGAAGCTTAAATTAAAAAAAAAATCATTTACT